CCAATTTAACACATTCATCTGTATTCTATCAAAGGCAATTCTCAACATATAACTATGCTGTTCATAATATGGGGGAGGAAAACGCAACAATGTTACTATGGCATGAAGCAATGGCACATCGGGGATCTACAGGGATTGCTTCAGCACTACTATTCTATATTACTAACAAGTATAGTCGTCTCAAAGCAGGTGAAGAAAGAAAACTAGTTGTATGGTCAGACAGGTGTGTGGGCCAGAACAATAACTGGAAAATGCTGACAATGCTGCGACTTCTAGTTTTAGAAAAGTTCTTTACGCAAGTCGAACAAAAATTTTTTCTCTCATAGAACGACAAAAAAAAATCTCTAAATTATTTGTTCCCTCACAGTGGGCTGATGTTGTCGCTAAGTCGAAGGTATCCAATCCATTTAAAGTGATCTTCATGCATCAATCTTTTTTTAAGGATTTTCAGGCAGCGGAAAATGTTATATATAAAGATCCATCATGTAAAATCACCCAAGTAATGTGGTTGCAAATGACCGCAGATGATGTGAATACTTTACGAGTAAGAAAGTCTCACAACACACTTCAACCATGGTTTACTTACTTGTTGAAGTCACGCAAGAAATTAGTACAAGAAGTAGCGATAAGAGACGACCTTAAAGAGGCATATAATGAAGCACTTTCGATCAAAAAGGAAAAAAAGGCAAACCTGATGGATATGTGTGACTATATCCCCTTAAAATATGTTAGTTGTTACGAAAACCTGAAAGTTGTTTAAAACCATCAAAATGTTATCCATTTGTATTATGTTTCTTGTAGCACCAACTATGTTGGTTCACTGTATTACAATAAAAAAAAAATTTGACCCATTAAGCGTAAAACAAGGTCGTAAACGACTCGTTTCCGTGTAAAAACGTTGTAAGTGACGTGTATATATAACTTTGTTTTAGGGAATTAATTTTATAAGGCTCTTAATTTGTTTAACATGGTTTATAAAAAGATGTTGTGTTTCTCAAATATATTAAAATATCGATTAGTAAATAGCCTGTCTGTTTTCTTTTTTTAATTTCGGAGTAAAACATAGAAAAGCGTTTTTTTCGTTTTTCTCAAAACTAAACTTTTGGCGGTTAGAACGTTGTTCCGGCATACCCTTCAATTGTAGGGACGACTAACGATACAGGCCTAAGTCAGATGATGGAGAGGCTCATAAGTCGTGAGCTTTTGGATCACCGGTTTGATTAGCGATATGCAGCGTGGTTTCCTACAACAGCGATCCAAGAGGTATCTCCAAGCTGACGTCACGCAACTGTGGAGTAAACTCAGTCATTCTTATGGTGAGGCTCATGTAGTTGCTCTTAATATCACGAAAGCGTTCGATCAGCTGTGGCACGCTGCCCTCTTATGCAATCTTCCATCCTATGACATCCCAGAGAAGCATTGCAGATAGGTGGCCGAATTCCTCTCTGGTCACAAGATATCGGTCGTAATGACGTAATTGTCGAATTTCAAGTTCAAGGGTAAGACAGAAAAGAAATATTCACAATCTTATAACCAGGATGGCGAGAGGAGTTTCCAAGACGATTGCAAAGGAGTTTGAAGAGCGACCAGTGTGCTCCAGTTGTAATAAAGCAGCCAATATTTTTTCAGGGAACTTTTTTTCATAAACGGCGCTATGTGATGCAAAGACTCCTGAACCGCCGCTGATCTTGCAATGGCCCTGATTTTTTCTCCTACCGATATTGTCCTGGAATCTACCGAATTTCAACGGCACTATCTACCGATTTCGTCTTACCATAGCGCGACCAAATTAGCACAGAAACACAGCCGCTTGATGCTAGTTTAAAGGTTTGGCACATATTGATCGACGAGTTTTGAATACCTTTTACCAATACTGTGTACCTTATAACAAACAATCTAGGCTAAGTGAAACCAAACGTGCAGACTCGATTTTTGTGACCGCTCAAGACCGTGTGAGCGCGACTGCTGAAGCGTCTTCCTTTTCCTCGATTTCTAAACCGCGAATGTGAAGGCCTCGTAAGAAATGTACAGGAGACGTTCAACAAATATAAAGGAAAAAATAGTTTTCACTTTACGCGTTACCTCAAATCAAAGTATTATGTGTCTGTCTGTCTGTTTGTTGAAAACAGCTTGTCGTATAATGCGTACCTAATTCTCCTAACCGCTGCAGTGATGATGCTAAAATTTAGTGAGGATTGAAGTATACAGGGTGGCCCATCCATGTGTGGACGGAATATTACTCATAAACACTTTGGGAAAATCTATTTATGGGATGTCATATATGATATTTGAGGGCACATTTCTAAAATATTGGCCATTATTCAGGGTGTCTCAATTTCGACCTACATATCAAAGTTGTGATTTTTCTAATGGAATGCCTAAAATTTTATTGCATATTTGGATAAACCAATTCAAAAGAAGAAAATTGATATAACATACTATGGGGTTTTAGTAATTAGCTACTGAGATATAAGGTGCTTTGTATAGAAAAATATACAGGGTGGCTCATCCATGTGTGGACGAAATATTACTCATAAACAAATACATTTTGGGTAAATCTATTTATGGCGTATTATACATGACATTTGAGGGCATATTCCTAAAATATTGGCAATTATACACGGTCCCAATTTTGACCTACATGTCAAAGTTGTGATTTTTTAAGTGGAATGCCTCAAATAAATTTTATTGCATATTTGGATAAACCAATTCAAAAGAAGAAGATTGATATAACATATATATATATATATATATATATACTATGGGGTTTTGGTAATTAGCTTCTGAGGTGTAAGGCGTTTTGTCAAGAAAAACCTCCCCCTCAGTCCGCCATTTTGTAATTTGGAGTGTTGAATTTTGTATAAAAAAACTTACACACCTCAGCTTTTATCTTATTTTTTACTTTTTCGAATTTTAATTTTTGCTCATACAGGGTGGTCAAAAAATTGTAGTTTTTCTCAAAAATTTTAAATTCATCACCCTGTATATTTGAGCAAGTTTGGTTTCAATTCTTTATAAGCTTTTTTTTATACTAGACACATAAGGATTTTTACGGCTATTTTTTCGGCTATTAGCATGTGTTTTATGGAACGGCTTGATTCCCTAAAATACCGCATCATCCTTGGAAACAAATAAATTGTTGATTAGTTACGAACTGTCAAAATTAGCTTTGTGAGCATTATAATGAAAACGTGTTTGAAAATGAATTTTTGGAGGAGATGGTGAATATGGTGTTCGTTTTGGGCGGAGCCCAAAGAAATAGTTTCCTAGCATCTCGCATTTATAAACAACGGTAAATGAAGCTTGAATGTTTGGGGAGGAGTTATTGGCAGACAAGTTATCGGGCCTTTCTTTTTCGACAACAGATTAACAGGTACAGAATACTTGAATTTTTTGATCGAGCATTTGCCTTTGCTTTTGGAGGATGTCAACCTGCAAACTCGGATGCATATGTACTTCCAACATGACGGCACACCTGCGCATTATCATAATCGTGTGCGTAACTATTTGGACATCTGGATCGGTCATGATGGGCCTATACCTTGGCCTCCTAGATCACCAGATATGATACCGATGGACTTCTTTCTATGGGGCTACGTTAAGCAACAGGTTTATAGATATCTACCATCTACCCCGGAAAATATGAAGGAAAGGATTAAGGATGCTTTTCTGAACATAAGGGAACACATGCTGAGCGATGTGCAAGGGTCATTTATCCAAAGACTACGGCTGTGTATTCAACACGGAGATATTTTCGAGCAGTTTTTGTAGATTAGGTCTTGAGTAGTGATAGTTGTTTGTTTATGTTGTTGTTATAGTTGTTTTTCTCTATTACGCTTAAAGCTGATTTATACTGTTCTGGTTGTTACTATTTTTTACGTCAAATCTGTACTCTTAGTGGCAATATGGAACTAGCCCACTGTTTGTCTTTTGTTTCCATGGATGATGTGATTTTTTTCCCTTAATTTTGGTGTGTTGTTCTATTAAAAGCTTAATAACTCAAAATCTAGTGATTTTATCTGAATCAAACCTTATACCAAAAAAAGCTTATAAAAAATTGAATTCAAACTTGCACAAATATACAGGGTGATGCATTTGAAAACTTTGAGAAAAAGTACAATTCGCGTTTTTGACCACCCTGTATGAGCAAAAATGAAAATTCGAAAAAGTAATAAATAAGATAAAAGCTGAGGTGCGTAAGTTTTTTTTGATATAAAAATCAGCACTCCATATTTCAAAATGGCAGACTGAGGGGTTGCCGAAGTGGGAGGTTTTTCTGGACAAAACACCTTACACCTCAGTAGCTAATTACCAAAACTCCATAGTATAACATATCAATCATCTCCTTTTGAATTGGTTTATCCAAATATGTAATAAAATTTGAAGCATTCCATTTAAAAAATCACAACTTTGATATGTAGGTCAAAATTGGGACACCGTATATAATTGCCAATATTTCAGAAATGGGCCCTCAAATGTCATGTATAACATGACATAAATAGATTTACCCAAAATGTATTTGTTTATGAGTAATATTCCGTCCACACATGGATGGGCCACCCTGTATATTATTCTGGGCGAAAGTAGGTACAACATAAGTTGAAAAAATGCTATTGGGCTATTCCGGTAGCGTTTTTTAAAGCAAAAATCTAAGAAGGTGTCGCCTAGACAGCTGAAATGTTAGTAAATTATTTTTCAACATATGTGGTTCCATTTATCGGCCAGAACAATATGAATATGAACTAGAAAGACAACCAAAGTATAAGCATCATTGTAGGTTGCTGCTATATTGTGAGTTTATTTTTTAGTAAAAATAAACGCATAACAGAGCTTTTTCGGCTTTCTTTATTCTATGATATCGAGTTTCCAATAATTTTAGCCGTGGTTGAAACTAAATATATTTGTGAGCCTATAATTTTAGAAAGTGCGAAACAGTAAAAATTCATCTTCTTGTATTATACCAGAGATTAGTAAAAATTACTACTAATAATATATCTTACCTTTCTTATGTGCAAATATAAAATCTTCTAATCCTATTTGACCTCCTAAAAGTTTCTTCATATCCGTTTTGTACGTATTCAGGGTGCAAAACAAAATCTGAAAGAAAAATTGCGATTTTAAAACTCATAATATGTCTTACAGAACAAAAGAAGAAAAGCTTCTGGATTAGAGATTTAGAGAGGGAGGTAACGGTTAAGAAACGTCGGGGAGGTAACAAGTAGCATGCTGTTTCAACGGGGATAATGTTCAACTATATACCTCGTGCAATCCTATGACTGGTGGGATGAGCTTTATAGGGTACTCTCGCCAAATTTTAGAAAAATCAGGAAATATTTTGCAAAAAAGCCCTTATAGTTGCTCTGAATATGAGATCTAAGGCGAAATCTTAAAATGTTTTTGTGTTGGGACCATTGCTTTTCACACTGTATACTAGTCAGTTTACCAAGTTTATTAAAACCAGCTCAGCACATAAATGTATGCGGGTGACAGGCGGGTATATCGTTCTTTCTCGGTGTCTGACTGGAAAACAGTGAATACCCAAATTAATTAATATCTTGATACTCTTTCAGATATTTCTGCAAGGCATTTACTCCTATCAAATCCTAGCAAGTCTGTGGCTATGGTATTTCACAAAAAATCTGATCGCCAGTTTTTGGAATCGAACCTCAAAATAGTTGTAAATAATATTGACATTGAAATTACAGGTAAGAAAAAGAATCTGGGCTTACTCATTTATCAACAGACTCTAAGAATATGTTGAGCGATACTCTAATATCAAAATTACTCAAACTAGGTCTAATAGATGACCTCAGAGCATCCCAATCATTCACGTTTCTCATATCAAAGAACAATTATTAGGAATATTATGTTTTTATCACGCGTTGATCTACTGACACTGGCAACAATGAATCGGGTGTAAATCTAGTAAAGCTTGCTTGTAGCGTTTTTTTGTACGCAATGAACTTCACTAAATAAAAGAGTTGTGAGCAAGTACAAAATGAATCTGTAACTGAACTTGAGATACCTAAACTGTTTTCACACTTCCTCATCTCCGATCATTTAGATCAGAGTTCCCCAAACTTTTTTGTGTCGTAGACCCCTTGCCATGTTTTTCCGTGTTGGGTAGACCCCCTACTTACCTGATATTGATTTCCTGTAAATTTCTAACTCTAGTGAAGTTTAGTGTTAAAAACTTAAAGTAAAAACACATGTTAATTTATACATTTATTAATTGAATTTAAATTATAACTACTCAAAATAAAATTTTGTATCTGTTATGTAAAATATACGTAACATTAAATAAACAGGTGTCTGACCAATAAGTGCCCGCATTGGAAAAAAATAAGAGGGATAAAATAAAAAAAAGTGAAAAATAATAAAAAAAAGGTTTTTACTTAAAATAGTACAATAAGCGAGTTTGCTTATTAATTATAACATAAACGTATGTTCTACAATAATTTCACTGTTAGTTTGAATAAATTCCGCTTCTTATTCGTTTCTAAATATAGGCAAAAAATTAACGAATTTTAGTGTGTACCTATCCTTGAATTTTCAGAATAATTTAAAAAAAATATTTTCTATAAAGGGGGGTTCTTTAAAAAAATCAATGCGGGTACTTATTCCCAATGCGGGCATTTATTGGTCAGACACCAATAAACATAAAATAAACTATAAATAAAATAACATAAGCAATAAGTCAATATTTTTAGTTAGAAGGATGAACCTGATGCTTTAATAATAAATTATCAACATTTGGCGTCAATTTTGTAAGGGTTAATCTTACATCTCCTCGGCTAATGATGTCCAGTCTGTTTCTTTTTTTCGTTAGGAGATTGGTAACAAGCGCTGAACCCCCTTTCCACTAGGTATGACGATGGAAAGGAAATTAAAAATTTCCTCGCTATTCTATAATACGGGATAAGTAACGGGTATGTTGTTTTGCAGCCAGAATTGCTGATATCCGTTTTTAAACTGAACCTGAAGTTCTTCGTTTGTACTTAGTTCAGTCAGTTCCTCTTGTATTATGACATTCGTTTCTTCTATGTCACCATATGGATTAATTATCCACGGTGGTATTACCATAGTCAAAATATCCTGAAACCTAGATTCAAAATCTGAATAGAGGGCATTTAAATGTTGAACGGAAGTTGAAACGTCGTCTTCCTGGCAGCTTGTCTGTGACAAATTGGGGAACTGAGAAAATTCGCCCCGTCCAATATTTTGCTTCATTAGTTTAACTCTGGCAAGAAACGCTGATAAGGTGGACTTTGTTTTAATCAAATTTAAACTGTCGCCTTGTAATTGCAAATTAACCATATTAAATTTTGTAAACAAATCTGTTAAATAGGCGATGTCTGTTTTCCTCTTCATTAAATTTTCTTTTAAAATTTTATCTTTAGTATCCAGAAATTCTAAAATAGTCTCAAAAAGTGTAAAAAATCTAGTCAAACATAAGCCTTTCGACAGCCAGCGTACTTCAGTGTGATGGAGTAATTGATGAAAGTGTTCATTTTCTTCACACAACTGCGCAAATAACCGCGTATTCAACGCGTTGCTTCTGATTCGGTTTACTGCATCAATGACTAAATGAAGTGATTCATGCAATCTAACACTCAAATTTTTAGCAACTAAATGTTGTCGATGGATGTCGCAATGTATTGCTAACACCCCTGACACATTTTGTTTTAAATAGCTTATAAATCTACGATAACGTCCAACCATGTCAGGTGTTCCATCTGCAGCTACTGATATTACATTTGATAAAGAAATTGCTTTTTCAATGAATTAATCCTTCAAAACATGAAATATTGATTCACTTTAGTGTCGGTTCTTGCGAAGAGCAGTTCTTCGTAGATTTCTTGATTCATAATAAAACGAACATATGCCAATAATAATGCTGCATTATCAGGTAAAGTTGACTCGTCCAGTTGTATAGAGAAATGGGTCGTTTGCAAATAATTTTACCTAAGAAGTTTTCAATATCAGAATTCATTTCATCAATACGTCTTTCAACAGTATTGTTGCTTAAGGGAATTCTTTTAATGATATCAGATGCCGGTTTGTGTAAAACAGTTTTTAAAACCTCTTCAACGGCTGGCAACATTAATTTCTCTCCGATAGTATGCGGTTTTCCGGATTTTGCTATAAGTAACGAGATATTGTAAGACGCCCGCAAACCATCATCATTTCTTTGTGACGTCGAAGCGAATATTCTGTCCAGTGTAGGTCTCTTCTGAAATTTATCTTTGAGTGTTTGAAAGTATTTCAAATCTTTCTCTGTTTTATCAGGGTGGCATCTTCTCAGATGATCTTGCAGTTTAGATGGTTTCATAGCGTCATTGTCCAAAACTTTGTTGCATAAAAGGCACATAGGCGATTATTTGTCCTGCAATGATGGAATGAAGCCAAATTTCAAATAATCAACACTGTACTGTGTACATTTCTTTTTAGATTCGGACATGGCATCAGTCATCTGTGGGTAAAATTAAATTATTTAAATAAGACGGAAAATCCAGCAGCTGTATATTAAAAATATTTTTTGATTTTTCCGAAAACATTCCGCAATTCGAACATCTTGCAACAATTAGCTCGAATTACGGAGATTGCACTGTAATTATATTACCGATTGCTAAAACTTTCAAAAAGAAACTATTGAGGAGTACTCGTGTAATTTTGCATGATTGAATATTTAACTACTAATAACTAAAGTCATGATTGGCGTAATTTATCTATCTTTGCTAACTACGAGTACAAAACTAAAATTTAATAAAAAATAATGTACTTACTTTTCTCCAGCACTCTCAAACAAAATAACACTGACTCACTATAATTTGTGTGATATACTATCTGTTTATATTTTTTTAAATATTTTCTTAGCACTTTCCTTTTCAAGATTCAGGAAACGAATAAACGTATTTGTCCCACATTCGTATTTATAGAGTGACGAATTGAACAAGTCAGTGCAAGGTAGCGAAGCTCTGAGACTGCGACTCTCAGGTTTTTACAAGTTCAAAATGTATTGCGACCACAAAGCGAATACCAATATCCTACAACTTACACAATTTTATAAACATATATAATACATTTTTGACCTCATAGGTACTTTTATAAATAATGTATATGTTTTGATATTATAAGATAGTATGATGTAAGTAAATAGGTACTATCAGTGTATGTGTTGAGATCCACTATCATGGACCCCCATATTCATTTCATGGACCCCCAAATTTTTTTTCGCTGACGTAGACCCCTTGCAGGTTGTCATAGACCCCTAGGGGTCGATATAGACCACTTTGGGAATCAATGATTTAGATCATGATTAAAAACATATCAGTACTTTGCAGGGACTCAGGGTTAACCCTGCTGTAAGAATTACAAAATAAAATTTCGAGGTCATCCATATAAATATGTTTGCGAATGATAGGAAGAACTTCCCTAGAATATCAGAAAATTATTTGCTTAAAGGTAAGTGCATTTGTAACACATCAATGAGAGGTAGTTATATTCAAAGGCATGCATGGAACTGGATTGCTTGGAATGTGAAAGTAATTATTAAATAGCAATTAAAAAGTACTCGTAGTAATGTTGTTGCTATAAAAGCGCAATTAGCGAAGAGGTCGTATACAAAAGTAATAATATTTATAAAAATGATGCTACTAAAAAATGTATCCATTGAACGTTCATATCTTATCGCTAAGTTAACTTAACTGATAACCAATCATCAATCAACAATGGGCGGATAAACAATGCTTTGTATTTGTTACCCTTTTCAAGCACGTCACCGAATATACGTAGATAAAAGGGCTGCAAACAAACATTGATATAAATCATTTAAAGTATGTTCGAATGTTTATTTTCTCATTTAGATGTCAATGCTAGAGTGACAAGGTATATATACTTTGCTGCTCATTTTCGTATTGGAATCAGGAAGTATTACCCTATTTCACACAAAATCAAAGAGTAGGAGACTCCTTCACCTGGGTAAATGTACGCATAAGTTGGTCTAATCAAGCATTTCATATCTAGCAAAGATGGTCATCATCTGAATGTTAGACCAAAATTAAACTACACTGCTCCCCAGCACAAAACCGCCATGT